GAGTTCAGACGTGTGCTCTTCCGATCTCCCCAAAACCCCAAAACCCCATGTCATAAAAATTAAAAGAAAAATAGTAGCCAATATAATTGTTGATTAATAAACTATTACCAAAATATACATATATAAAATGGACTCTGATGAAGATGTAATATCATACTTAATTTAACTTATATTTATACTTATAAATAGGTGGTTTTTAGAAACAAGCGAAGACAAACAAAGAGAGTGCTTGATGATGATGAGGATGAAGAAATGGAGAACATATCCCCTCAGATTTAGAATAAATCATAGAGTGTGCCTCAGAAAATGCCTGAGTTAGATAATAAAAAGGGTTAATAGCGCAATAATGAGAAAGATGTAGTGATGAAGGATGAAAGTTCAAAGGCAAAAGAGACTAAAGACAATAGTGGGAGATAGTCAAAGGCCATTAGATCAGAGATTACCTCAACTACTCAAAGGGATAGTACTAATGGATATAATAATATGGATGATTTCGATGGTCTATCAGTCAAGAGTCTTAACAATAAAGATAGTGCTGATGCGTCTAAAAGTAAATAGTCCTCAAATGAAAGTCAATAAAAATAGTCACTAAGTAGCATACTTAAACCTTTATCAATAGATGAACTAATTGGAAGCATCCCAACTTAACATGATTTCTCTAAATAGAATCAATCTTCATTATAAAATTCGTCAGCAGTGAAATCCTCTAACTAATCTAATGGAAAATCAACATAAAATAATGGCAAAGATATTCCAAGTTTAAAACCAAACTCATCTTAATAAAAATAAACCCCAATTAAGCAAGATAACAATAAAACACCAATCAAAAAGGAAGAATCCAAGATAGTTGATGATAAAAAGAAAGTATTACAGTAATCTGCTTAAAAACAATAATTATAGCACTAAAAGGACAAAGCTAAAATGAGTCCTTAGAAGAAGAAAGTAAGATCCCCCTCTGAAAGTAGCGGCTCAGATGATGATGACTCTAATAGCGGATCAGAATCTGGCAGTTCATCAGGCTCTGGAAGTGGCAGTAGTTCTGGATCAGAATCTGATTCAGGCTCAAACGAATCTAGCTCATATTCAGACTATTCAAATGAGGAACAAAAATAGAAAATTGAGAGAATAAAGCAACTTAAAGCCATTAAATAGAAGCTATAAGACAGACAAAATAATAAACAAAGGTAAATCACTGTTTAAGAGAAGGCTGAACTATTGAGAATATAGGCTGAAAAAATATTAAAGGAAAAAAAGATGAAAGAAAAGTCTATTAAGTCTAAGTAAATTAGAAAAGAAGAAAAAGTTAAGATTACAAAAGAGTAAAAAAATGGAAAGGAAATAGTCTCAGTTAAAAAAGTTATTAAAAAGGTCAAAACGGTAATGTAAACTTAGGTAACAGAAGAGGAATTAAATTTCCTAAATAAGCAGCACTTGATAGAAGAGATCTCTGTAAGATGGAACTATGTACTGCCTCCTTGGCCACCTGCAAATTATGATTACGGATATGCATTAAAACAGAATAATTTAAGAAGAGTAGAACTGAAAAATTGGAAAATGGAACCAGAGGAGAAAGATGGCCTTAAAAAGGTATTTGAATTAGAGACATTCTCTGGTTACTTCAAAGATTCAATGGGAAACTCTTATGATTTAAGACCAAGAGAACTTTGCCCCTCTTTAAATAATTTTGAAAGAATGGATAAAGGTAAACTTTAGAACCTCTTGCTTTAGGCTTACGAGAACTAGCTGAGAGCACTCGAGGCAATTGTACAACCGCATGATCATAAATAAGAATAGCATCTGAAGGCGAAATTAAAAAAGAAGATCACTAGATTAAGTGGGTAGATGGGTGTCAAGGCAAATATATGAAAACAAATCTGTTAATTTCAAAGGATTTTTTCAAATGGACAATTATGTAATAATCAAGTTAGAGTGTTTAGGTGTAATGTTTTATGCTATTTTGATTTTAAAAAGTATTCTCTTGAATTTATATTTCATTCTTAAGGTAAGAGGTTTTGGGGTTTTGGGGTTTTGGGG